CTTTACTTACTCTTCACTTACGTGATATAAGCACCTGACGTACCTACCGGACATACTTACCTGATATACCCCTAAACCTCAACTTAGTCTGAATTTAAATTGATTTGGTCTTTTTTTTCCTAAATATACTTACCTGACTGACTTACCTTAATTATAAAACTGAACACTTATCTACACGTATTTATTTATATATACCATAGACCTAAGAAGTACACCTACTATCTAGTAAGCATGCTACTCACCTTTTACGAGTAGATGATAGGAATTAGCTTTAGGAATTAGTTTTTTTTTAAGAAATGATAGGATTAAGATTAGTTATTTTTAAGAATTAGATTTAAGAAATGAAGTGTCAACAAAATAATAATCTAAAATGGGAATGTTGACCCTTTTATTCATGTAGGGAGGCACGATAGGAATTTTTTTATGGGGCTATCAATAATAGGGTGCGCTGATAGCCACGGATGAGGGTGGGCCAGCACCGAGCGTCACATCATCACCAGTGGCGCCCCTATATTCGGCTTGTTTTTATTTCGTTTGATCATTTTCTTTTTCTTAGTTTGATTAGATTCTTGGTATCTTTTGATTTTAAATTTTATTTTTGATATTTAATTTAACGTTCTCTTTCAGCTTTTTGTTTGTAACAGATTGTTTTTTAATTTTTGAGTTTTGAATTGTTGTGTGTCCGTCCGTTGGAATGTTTGAAAGGCATGACTTTTCTAGGCTATGGCGCAGGGAACAGGAGTGAATGCAAGAACCCAGCCCAGCCGACATGACTAGTAGTGCTGCAAAAACATCGATGTTTGAAACTGTCGATTTTTCGATGTTTTTGCCCATAAAAAATCGATAGTATCGATACTATCCGGTTTTCTTGGGAATTATAACTTTTTATTTAAAGCTTGTGACGAACTTTTGTAGTGCCGGGGTAAGCTAAGTCCGTCCAGGGTTCCTGAAATTGGAATTCCTACTTCTCTCCTTCAAAATGATAAATCTTCAATTTCAATCCATTTACTCTTTATTATTAAATTGTTAATTAAGAATTCCTATCAAGAACGCTTAAAGGCAGTGGGAGAGAATATCCCTCCACTAACCTTACCCGTCGGCGGGAGTGGTAACCTCCGCCGAATATAAGACTAAACACAAATGAGGTGGAAACTCCCAGGTGCGCTTCGTTTGCCGGTAGTGTGTGCCCACCGACTAGTATACCTGTCTACTAGCGACTGCCTCCCTTTACAAAATATCTCCTCGCTTTTATACTCTTCTGCGCGCAGGCAGACTGTTATTCTAAACTAAAAATGCTTAACTGCAAATGTTAAGAAATTAACAAACTTCAAATAGCAACAATTGAATACTGAATATAGTGTTGTACAATTCAACAAGTATATAAGTATATGTAAGTTCAATACAATTCAATTTATATAAGTAAATGTGATACAATTCAATTTAAATAATTCAATTTATTTATTTATTATAATTAACTCAATATAATACTTCATAAAAATAAATAATGTTAAGGGGACTCCAAAGCCCCTCACACTCTCCCCTCACTTGCCGCAATGAGACTTACTGTCACCGTGCCTGTGCGCGAAATTCTTACCCTGTAGCTGTTGCCATCGATGTCGCGCCGAAAAGACCGCCGTCCTCGCCGCTGCTGTGGCTGCTGCAAATGCGCCTCAATATCGTCGACTAAGGCCGCTGGCAAAGGGTCAACTCCGGATTGGTTCTCCCATGCACCCGGCGTAGTGGTTGTTGCGCCCTGCAGCCAGCGCTCTATTTCCTCCACTATCCCTGCATACTCGTTGCTGCCTTCAGCCTCCACCAGGCCGTCACTGGCCGTCAAGCTTAGCGCGTCGCTGCGGTCACAAGGCGCGCATTCAATTTCTGCCCCGTCGCAAATGTGGAGCTTCGTGGGTGGCTGCCGGAGTTCCTCTGCCGTCGACACGTTGTCATTAAAAATACGCATCCGCATTTCGATGCGCCGCGTATAATCGGTGAACCCTTGGCAACGCACCTCAACGTCTTCTTGGCTTATCGATAATTCGCCGCGCCTGGACACTCTTCCTCCTCGGACTCGCTCTCTGAGGATACGGTCATGGGCGTCGAGGCCCTTACCACTGCCGCCTCGTCCTCGTCGTAGTTTCTGAAGTCGTTCTCGCTGTCACTGTTGTTGGGCTCGAATAGTTCGGTGCTGGTGCTGGCACCCTCGCTAGGCCACTCTTCCTCCTCCGCCGCTGTCCGCGTACCCATCGTATGCCGCTGGATCCCTTCCTGCGTTAATCGTTTTAGCCGTACTCGCAGGGAACCGTCTGTACTACTCTCCGCGATGTTGTTTTCGCGGACAAAATCTTCGCGTGCGCCCATTTTCGTTAGGAACCGTATTTTGGTATCCTGCGAGCCGCGGACCGGTATTTATATTAGTTCCCATTGCGCGGTGAACTGTGCTTTTCCCGAAAAAACGTTATCCCGCAGTTTTCTTTTAATTTTCGACGAAAATTGCAGGACATTTCCACTTTTAATGTAATTATGTGTGTGTTTCTTTGTTTAATGCAGCTGTCTTGATCGGGCAGTGCTGCCAACGCATACAGGGAAAATTGCCTTATGTGGCCTTCCCACTGGCAATTTTTCATTGCTTCGGCCATGTACTTAGCAATTTCTTAGTAAATTTCTCTATCGCTTCACGTGTTTATTTCTTTGTTGTTATTTGCTTTCATATTTTTTTTGTAGATTAATTCCTTCATTTGTATGTATATATATGGGCAAATCTAAAAAACAGGTAACCTTGGTGTTTTTTAGCTTTATTTTCACTGTTGGAAACTATATCAAGCTGGTTGCTTTTGGATATAATTCATTGACGTATACTTGAAGCCTCAAAAAAAATTTGGATCAATTTGCAGCATTTGAATTATAGGTGTTTAAATAAAAAATAATAATGAAAACAAGTGAATTTTTTATGTAATTTTTAAGAGCTGAAAAATTAATTATGCCATAACTTTTGAAAAACACCATATACTGATTTGAAATTGTATGTACAATTAGTACTTATGTGTACACTTCAAACGTAGTAGGTAAGAAAAGTGTGCATTAAAAAATAACGAAATGGCAAGTAACTCAAAGTCTGTAATTCCACATTTCCCAATTTTCAAAATTTTCGGTTTATCGCGTATAGTTTTTGAAGCATTTAAGTTTAAGAACATTTTAGGTATGTATTGTATACTACAAACAATTACGAATAATTTCATACCTGAGCAAGAGCTGTGCTTTCAGAATAAACCAACTTTTAAAGATAAAATATTCTGCGATCTTGAGCGTAATTTTTATTCCAAAAACACTTTAATTAAAGCCACATTTGGAAAACACGTCGAAACGATCTAAATCTTTCTATAACTGCTAGTCCTTATAAAATTACATATACCTGTAAAATGCTTCAAAAAATTTATCTCAGAAGTGTGTAAAAACCCTGATTTACTACTCTTAATTATGCTACTTCTTTTAGTCAGAATATTTCGAGAGTGGTATTAAAGCAACTTTTTTTCGACAAATGTTCTGATATCTTCTGAATTCAATGGCGTCCTAAGTTTTACCCTATTGGCTCCACTTTTCGAGATAGCGGTACTTGAAACTTTCCTTAAATTTTAACTATTTTATAAAAAAAGTCCCTGGGTTTTGAAGATATTTTACTAAAATTTTGCACATAACCGTTTTTTAATATTACCTTAACTATTCCATAAAATCATCGAAATCGGTTCACTAAAACATATAGCCCCCATACAACTGATTGATCTGAGACGTTGTTTTGCGTTATAACTCCTTCAATTAAACAGGTTAAAATTTAGTATAGGTTCAATTTATATGTTAACGCATACAATTTATTATTCAGATATGAAGTTAGAGTTATTGCGCAAAAACACATATCTGAGTAATCAGTTGTATTGGAGCTATATGTTAATGTTAACCTATTTCGATAATTTTAAGGAATAATTAAGGTAATATTAAAAAACTGTTATGTGCAAAATTTTAGTAAAATAACTTCAAAATTGAGGGAGTTATTTATAAAATAGTAAAAATTTAATCAATTTTTGAAGTACCGTTATCTCGAAAACCGGAGCCAATCTGGTAAAACAGGGCATGCCATTGAATTTAGAACATCCCAATTAAGTGAGTTCAACTTTCAAAATCTTTCCTGAAAGTTTACAACTTGAACAGCGTAATTTCAACCCAGCTTATTCTTTTGTTTTCTATTTCATGCTTATTCCTCGTCTAACTTTTGAAGTACTTGATGAATATGAATTACACTTATATTAATAGATTTATTAAGAGATTACGAATAAAATGATATATAAAACATAGGTGTGCTCACAAATTTAAAAATTAAAATTTTTTGTTTGAAAGTGTACCTATTTTTTAGATTTGCCCATATATATATATATATATTTTTTTTTTTTTTAGGCGGATTATTCATTTCGCCGTTTTTACCTTTTTGGTATTGTCCCGCCTCTAATTCTTTCGTAGGGCGTTGAATTGTATTCAGAAGTGGTGTTGTTGTTTGTGGTTCTGGCTCCATGGTAAATCTTTAGCTCACTTACATGCGCTCTCCTCGCCTTTCCGTTGTGCGTTTTGTCCAACTCGACAATCACTGGTGACACGAAGTTAATTACCCGATGAGGCCCACTATATCTGGGGGCTAGCTTGGCCGCAAAATTGTCCACTGCTTTGGATAGCTGATGTTCCTTTACCAGAACTAGGTCGCCTACAGCTGGGCGCCATTGTCTTCTTCGTAGGTTGTAGTGCCGAGCCTGTGTGGTGGCTGCTCGTTGCTGATTATTTTGTCGAATTTTCCTTTGGATTCACCACCTTCTGGCCGGTACCGAATGTTTGTTCATCAAAGAGAGCGTTTGGTAATCTCGGCTCTCTGCCTTGGACCCCGTATGCCGGGCTGAAACCCGTAGATTCACACACACTTGTATTTAATGCCAGTGTAAATTCTGGCAGCAAATCGGACCAATCACGTTGCTCCTTACCGGTGAATTGTGCTATCATTCTTTTAACGTTTCGGTTTGCCCTCTCCGTCGGATTCTCTTGCGGTGTGTACGGTGTCGTTAGCTGGTGCCTTACGCCGAGCTCCTGTAGGAATTTTTTAAACCGTCCACTGTCAGTTATTAATACCTTTGGGACGCCAAACCGGGCCAAGATTCGATCCCTAAACGCTCGGATGAGGTTTTCAGTCGTCGATTTTCGGATTGCCCAAATCTCCACCCACTTCGAGAATCGGTCGAGGAAAACTATGACCATCGTGTTGCCGTGTCTTGAACGCGGGAGGGGTCCCACAAAATCGGCACATACCGTCGCCCAAGGTTCTACCGCAATTTGGGTGAGCATCTTACCGGCAGCTTGCTGTTGACTAGGCTTGTATATCTGACATGTATGGCATTCCCGCACATACTCTCTTATGTCTCTGAACATGCCGGGCCAGTAGTAACGCGTCATCGCCCGCGCAATTGACTTCCGGATACCCATATGCCCCGCACTTGGTATATCGTGGATTTCTCTAAGAACTCTGCTTCTTTGCGATGTCGGCACGCACAGCTTCCAGGGGGTCGAATCTTCATCGTCCATCTGTGTCGATATTCGCCTGTAAAGCCTACCTTCTTCCACCACGTATTCTGGAAACTTCTCAGGGTCTTTTCTCACCTCCGCCATTTTAGCCGTGAGCCATTTACAGTCGCTATTATCTTGTTGCAATATCATTGTGCCGAGCTGCTCGTCTTGTGGTTGTCGCGAGAGCGCGTCCGCCACCACGTTTAGTTTCCCTTTTCAGTACTGCACATCAAAAGTATACTGTTGGAGCTCCAGTGCCCACCTCGCAATTCGGCCTGATGGACTCTCTATCGCGTTCAGCCATTTCAACGCAAGATGGTCGGTGACTACCGTAAAGGTGTACCCTTCTAGGTAAGGCCTCATCTTTCTTATTGCCCAAACTATAGCCAGGCATTTCTTCTCAGTCGGAGAGTAGTTCATCTCCGCCTTATTCAGCCGTCGGCTCACGTACGCTATCACTCGTTCCCCGTCTTCTAATTCCTGAGTAAGGACTGCGCCGAGACCGAAATCACTTGCATCTGTTTGTAGCGTAAATTTTCTTGTGAAATCCGGGCAAGCTAACACCGGAGCTTATGTGAGCGCGTTCTTTAGAGCCTCGAATGCCTCCTGCTGTTCCTCGGACCACTTCCACTTGCTGCCCTTCTTCAACATCGACTTTAGCGGATGTGAAATGCGCGAGAAATCGGGAACGAACCTCCTGTACCATGAGACTACCCCCAGGAAACGCCGTAGTTCTCATAGGTTGTTAGGCGGTGTCAGCTCTTTGATGGCCGCGATCTTGTCTGGGTCCGTGTGAATACCCTTCTCGCTGACGACGTGCCCTAGATACTTAAGACTTTTCTTAAAGAACTCGCACTTTTCTGGGTTTATCTTGAGGTTGGCTCGCCTTAGACGCTGGAACACTTCCGCGAGATGCCGTACATGCTCTTCCAGTGTGGTGCTCGTAACGATTATATCGCCTAAATACGCGAACGCGTACGGCTCTAGCTCTGGTCCGATGACGCGATCGAGTGCTCTCTGGAAGGTCGCTGGGGCCGAGTGCAGACCAAACGGCATTACCTTCCACTGGAATAATCCGCGTCCGGGTACGGTGAATGCGGTATATTGTTTGCTGTTCTCCTCCATGGGGACTTGCCAATATCCATTCTTTAGGTTTAGGCTGCTGATGAAGCGGGCGCTTCTTAATCGATCCAAGATATGTTGGATGCGCGGCAACGGATAGGCATCAGGCACGGACCGAGCACTGAGCCATGTAGTCCGTTCCTATCACTGCTCTGTCGGCGAGCCCTGGTAAGACTAGCAGCTCACTCTGGTGCACTTGGTCACCTAACTTTACCTCTGCATATACCGCATCGACTATTATTCTCGCTCTGCCATCGCCCATCACCA